GTTTATGTATGCCTGAAAGGGTGAATACATCCCCCTAAAGTCCCATCTGTTATTTTGTTCAGCCGTACACAAAACACAGAAGCGTCCAAAAGGCGTGTAGGTGGTGGGGGCGGGCACATTCAGTAGTCCTTATACGTTTATACGACTCCGGTTGTTTTAATGGCTTTCTCGAAATAAACGCAAATTAGAGAATCTATCCGGACATCAGCTCCAATGCTTTCTATCTTTAATGGCTTGTATCTTATACATCGCTCTCTTTGCGTGACATATTTGGCTAATACATCGTTAAGAGGCGTCCTACAGACGGGACGAAGTTTATTGGCCATGTGTTATTTTACAGCACTCGGCATTTTTGTGAAACAAACACAAACGACAGCTGTGTGAGTTTATGTCCTCTCTCCTATGCGGCAGCCGTTTTTTGACGCAACCACAAAGAATCAATGACCACAATAATGTCTTGCAGTATATGCAGACTGTTTTATAGGTCCTCTGGGGGTCCAATAAACGTTACAACCTGTGTGGCCAATAAACGTCATTTTTACAGGGTCTTTGACGACCGTTTTTACTGCATCACAGACATACAAAGAATGGCTGTCTACATGTGGGACGTAAATGAGCTTCCCTCCGGACTCAGTTGTGATCACAGGAAGATAGCATTGCCTGGCCATTAATTCTGGGCTATTGTTGCTTGTAGTGCGATTGTTGTGCGATCTACTAAAGTGGTGTGTTAGGTAACAATAGGAAACACAACAGGAGTAGGAAGACTATCCATCATTTATAGTGGGAGGAAAGACAACAATTTTCTCCAACTGCCCCCTTTAGAAAACATTTAGAGAATATCTAGAAATCTAGAGAACTTTCCTCAGTGCAGTGTCTGCTTGAAAGGTCTGTCATAGATGGAGAATGGGGGAGTTGATGAATGTATATACACGAACGAACGAATGAACTTTATTGCTCGACAGTTGTACAGGGTACAATACAGTAATACAAGTCTATTCTAAGAAACCATGACGACAGTAATTGACATGATGTACGTCAGACGCTTCTGTCATTCTCTCTTTCTCTTCACATGGAGTTGTCTAACAATGTACTGGTATGTCGTACGTGGTAAAACATTGGAATCGACAACGATTTCTACGATCAGTAAACAAGGACATGGCTTCCTTCTACAAGAAAGGTGTTCCTCGGTGGAGACTCCATCCATAGCTTTACTGCTGTGTCCATGGTAACACGCTGGCTTGTCTCACTTAACTTAAGGGGAGTTCAAAATGTGCTGACAACGCATAAATTCTGACAGGGGAAGAAGTGCTAGTTGTATGGCAGAAGTCGGTTCTTGAAGGTGACATTTCTAATCCGCGTCGGTAGAGGCGCCCTTAATTTCCAAACAGATGTAAGGTTTCGGCTTCGTTCAAGCGGCGCGTTTCTTCTAATAATCTTTCTTCATCGCAGTTCGTATAAAAAGATGTTATAAGCTTTATTTTGTATCACAATACATACTTCCCTTGTGCCTATAACAGACTGTGAACTACGACCGTATCCGCACGAGCAATTCAATCCTTGGTAACTTCCTCCGGCTGTTGCTATTTATTTATATCCCATGTCATTTTCAGGTGTCATTTTCATATCCATTTTGAGGTCTCGATTCCGGATGTACAAATATCGTGAGCTGTTATGTGTAATGTCTGGACTAGGACTAGACATTGTCACGAAAATATTGTCATTGAACCCTTGAAAACGTTATTCTCACTTCACCATGAAAAAAAAACGCATTGAAAAGGAAAAATCGTAATGACCCCCGCCCACCGAGGTTTAACGACGACGTTAACCGATTAAACACCGGTCGGTGATTATATGGACCGTTAACGACTCATCGGTGATTACTGGGTCCGTTAATAACCGACCGGTGTTAACTTGAAGATGACGTTAGTATCAGCATCATAAAGCGCCGATATAGGTTGTATTGTATCATGAGACTGTCAGTACTAATAGTACTACATCCAGATGACCTCTCCTTGGTGGCCTGTATCTTCTAAATCTAAAGGCTACGTGAGAAATAACAACCAGCCGGAAGTCCCTATTGATCAACACTGTCTTGTAAAGTTTTGTGAATGTCCTAATTTTATTGTCTATGCTCTACTGTTACACGATTTCTGTGTATTGCCCATGGAAGTCAGCGTACCCTAGCTAATGGCTCGACGCTAACCCAGCAAACGTGACATACTAGAGCATACCTGTTGCCCCTGTCCAGCCAAAATTACTGTCAGCATTCGCTTGACTTCGATTTGGTTGTACTGAATAGTCCGCCTTTGCTAGAAGTATGTCTATGTATGATCATGTATACGAATAGCGTTTACCCGTCTGTCTCTTATATAATATACTGTACCTTCCTCTCTTCAATTCGTTCATTCTCACAAGACTATCTTCAGAACATGAATGCCTGTATAGTCAATCAATCAATCAATGCATTCATTTTCAGTCATTCATTCATTCATTCATTCATTCATTCACACTCATGGGTTCCTTGATGGTGTCTGATTCAGATGGATAGATAAGATAAAAGATTGATAGATGGGTCATAGATGTATTGTATCATACTCTGGGCTGTCTGGCGATGTCGGTGTAAGAAAATGGGGTCAAAAATCCAATCATCCATTGACTGACTATATATAGGTCCATACACTACTTATATTGAATGAGTTGTATCTAAGTCAATTAACACATCCAGACACCGCGGACATGCCCCTGGGTTCCACCTTTAGTGGTAATTCCCGCCAAAAAAATTGGGTCGGAGAAAATGCGGGCTAACTCCAGCTGTGGCCGGGCGGATTAGCTTCAGATGTGGCCCCAAGCGGAACAGATGTCTACTTTTTTTTTACCGCGGTGGCTGATGTCTTCTTGCTTTACTGTTCCGGTCTCGAGCGCGCGCTTTGGTGGTGAAGTCATCAATATCGCCGAGCTTGGCTGGTTGTGACAGAGGAAATGAGAAAGTCGTCCTGAATTACTACCAGGGTATATTGAGCACCGGTAGCGTGAATTATCGCGTCTATCTGTCATGGTATGATATGACTTATTACTAGTAATAAAGACAGATTTAGATCGTCGGCTAAGAGGCTCACTCTCCGGATCAGATGTGGGAATTTCATATTACTTTCCACAGACAGCTCGCTATAGCAGGAGGCTGAAGGAAAGTGTGGTTCAAAGTAAACCATAACATCTATGGATAAAATTTTTCATGAACTTTTCCACTATCCTTTCATTCCTTCCGTCTCTCCCTTGCGTAAAACTAAAGCTTCTTTCCACAAGATTAACTTTTGTGTGAATTGAATTAAACGAATCGTCGCCGTCCACTGAAAACAAATAGGTAGCTATGGTCAGTATGAATAATCACATGATAAACGTGAACACCGTGAAATCGGTAGTTAGGGCGAGGCCTGCCCAAATCTAGTAAATATTCTCTGGGGCTTTAACGGTTCTGGTCGGAATGTACGGACTAATTTTTTACGGAGGTGCTGCGTGTCACTTTTGAGTTTGTATCGGCACACCGGAGACACAAACCGTTGAGGGGTTGTAGTTTTGTGTTATTCCGTGATTTTGAATTCCGCCACGTCAGACGAGGAAGATAAAGTGATCAAGTCCACAGATGCAACATGTGGTCCCAGGTAGGCAGATGGTTTGTTTAGTTTGGTGTTAATTTATTGTTGTTGTCCTTATCTTATCTGTTGCACTCCATATTCATTTCGTCTTGCTGCACCGTGGGTGCCGGAGTCGCCGAGAACCAATGCATGTCAAAACTGTTTTCTTTCGACATTACATCACAGGCTATATAAATAACAATGTTTTATTTGGCTTTGTTACTGAAACTAAAAAGGTGACTACAGTGTACTTTTTTGCGGTTTTAGAGGAAATTATGAGTGAGTGTGAGTAATTGTTTTAAAACGTATAGTGCCTTGTTTGATTTCCTACAACACCTCTGTCACACATGTTTCTCTTTTACCACTCCGTGTGCATATACTATTTTTCCTCGGGGAGCCAATTTCAGAAGTAATGACATTAGTGTAGCCGCCTTTTATTTTCCCCACACTTCCCGTCTCACGGTTGCCCACACCTAGGCAGTGCGCAGGCCCGGTGTTCGGTATGCACAATCAATTTTCCAGCTCCGTTCATCCGGTTCGCCTATCATATGGAATTCAATTGGCATCATATGTCCCGTTACAAAGGGCTGTTTTCTCCTCAGCGGCTGTAAAAACACTTCAGAAATCAAGGCAGCGAACAGTTAGAGTTAATGTTTTCGCAAACACTCGAGTCGAGGACACTGAAGTCAAAGTCGAAGTAGACTCTTATTGATTTCTTTTATTGCGGGCGCGCCGGCCCAGGTCTATTTGTGTAGCCGTCGTGCCATGGTGATGTGACTGGCTATTGCAACAGATGGTGAACTGATTAAAGTGTGTCGCAAAGTTGTCAAACAACCAAATCATGAAAACGTATGTGTCAGCGGAATGGTGCATGCAAGACGTTAGCAAGGGGCATGCAAGGGATGAATTTTGCAGAGGTCACACCCCAGTATCAAATGTCCATTATTATCATGTTTATACCGTGCAGGCCTCTAATAGATGTAAAGTATAAAATGAGTCATATAGAAAAGTTCCGTCTGAAGGCGGTACGTTGTATCATCAGTAGTTTGTGTACGTGGCCTGCTCAGTTTAACGTGTCGGTCTTTGACATATCGCTGTGTAAAAAGCGGCCTCATTAGATGTGGAGTCCGATAATTGGACGGGGGGTAGCAATGGGGCCAATTTGGCGGACCTGGGATAGAAGGCAACATGGATTATCCGTGACGTCACGCGGCGGAAACAGTTGCCCTGGCAACACAAAGCTATTGAGTAAAGAGGCCGAAGGGATGTAAAGAGGGTGCCTAATACGCTTGCTTTTGGAGGTCTGTGTAAACTTTCATATTCACGGCATCGCGGAAAGTGCTCCGGCTATTGTTTGTACGAGCCCCCGCTTGCCTGTGGGGTAATTCTGTAGTGCTGGCATGGCATGACTCGGTCACGTAATAAATTCCTCCTTTTTTATTACAAGACGGTGCGATGAAGAAAGTTTATTAGTAGCTACCCACATAACGTGTAGCTAACAACATGCATATCTACAATTGCCTGTTGTAACGGTATGGCCTTTCATTGTTGACATGCAATCATGCACCAGACCTGAGTTCTAATTAGTTTGGAAAGCGGATATGGGAGTATCAGAGTTCGCCCCCATTCAACTTCCCATTTCACTCCCTGAAAAGTAAACACGGCCGGAGAAAGTGTTTCATTGTTGCCAGATTTTTATGACAGTCGTAACTTTGCTGCGTGCATGTAGGAAAAAATCCCTTTGCGTGCCTCGGCTTCGATTTTGCCCTATCCCGGGTAATGAGGGCCCTTCTAAGCTGTCATTATGTTGTCAGCTGAGTCAATCGCCATGTCATAAACATTCACCATTCAAGTCGGGCATGATGGGATATGTAGCGGTGACTCTTTCAAAATGGCGCATGGCGGGAGCGGCGGAGCGTGAAACTTCGTCGGCAAAACTGCGAACTTCTGACGGCAGGACCACGCCAGTGCCTTCCTCATCAGCAGCACAGGTAGGGGACAGTCTTCTGCAACTCTCGGGGACACTTTTTGTGGTCATGCCCCTCCCCACTCGGCAAGTTTGGCCAAGTGTTTGTCAGGAGTTCCCCCACGAAATCTCGGAAGACTGGGGCCGGACCCGTCAGTTTGGTTATGACCCGGGGCTATGCTAATGCCGCGAAGTTTTCATTATCAGTTTTACAGGCGCTGCATCATTGATTTCCGAACGCCTTACGCGGAAAGTCGGACGTTTGTCCCCGTTTCTCCGTCATTCGTAGTGGCTTCCCGAGTTGGGGGAAAGTTGTAGGGACCGCCTTGATAAGTGGGAGAAGTAAGTGTGCGGGAATAGTTGGAATGGCCCTTTATTCAGGACGCTGCTTGTATGCAATAAAAGTTGTCATTTGTATTCAAAGCGTCGCTCCCAGCTTTTCACAGCCCTTTATCATCCCGCTTTGTCCCGCGCACAGTTTGCAAGCCGTCACTTCCAAACTTTTTTGTCTTTTCCTGTCCGTTTCCTCCGAAGTCTGGGACAACTTGGAGTAATCAAAACTCGCAAGGGGGTATAAAAATCCATCATGGCCTCCACAATCTGAACTTGACACCTCGGAAAGAGCGTGATAACTGATAACACAGGACTGATGGGCCCCTCCCCACGCACCAAATCTCTCACGTGAGGGGCACTCAATAGGGGCTTGTTTGAATTGCGGGGTTGGGAGTGAATAAAAATTACCGATGTTTGGATTGCGGCATCGCAACGAGTGTAACAAAACACGGCGGGCGAGGCGAGCGTTGTCCCAGACAGTTTGATTACCCCTGTTGGAACAGTCTCCCCGAGTTTGTCAGAGAGGCTTTGGGGGAATTTCCAGGAGATAACACAGGATGGGGCGGCATTGGCCGTCCTTGCCTAGGCTTAGAATTAATACGGCCTCTGAATACCGGAGTAGTATTATCAATGGCATCATTATGTGGCTGTGCCGCCTGTTGAGTGCTTTGTGGGGATCTTGAATAGGTTCCGTGAAGGGTATATTCATCTGAGTTAATGTTTACGTTCTGTGTATAACTTAGCGAATTACATCCTTTAATGAAGCGCGCAGTGCCGCTGCTTCCCACGGCACACAGGCGCTTTGTGTTCCCGGCGCTGGCAATTTAGAAATATAACCATCTTTTTCTCGTCCTTGACTGTTGTGTTTATATGACCCTGAGATTAATCAAACTTGGCCGGCGGGCAGTTAAGTTCTTTGTTCTCCTCCTGCATGCGTTATGAACCGGCAAGGCGGGTCTGACATTCTTCTACGGGTGCTTGAAGACGACTCACGTTTACAGTATGAAAGAATTTATTGTTCTGGTCTTTATTTTCGGGGCATCTTTTGTTTAGGTTTATCTGCCCGACATGGCGTCTCTGTATTTCCGGTCGTCCATCAAAAGTGGCCTAGTCCTGTGCCCGGTGTCCCGTCTTACATTACACCACAGCGCTGATGAATTCTCCGCACTTGAGCGCGCCGTGTCGGGATGCGGAGACATGCAACTTGTTGCATTCATGTATTCTTTATGGCGGGTGGAAGGTACACATGGAATACATCACGGGCCATTCTTCCCTCGCTAGCGTTAGACCACCTATCAAGATGATTGAAAGAATCTGCGTATATTTCCCCCGGGGTTATAAAAATCCCATACACGCAGCGGCGGGACAATGTTGCTTTTAGCCATATCCAACTTCGACGCCCGGAACATTCCAGTCTGTCTCCACAATGTCGGCAGGAAAAGTCATAAATAGGGAGTTCCGCGATTTTTACTGCGTTATTTGTGCATCGTACAGCTGCCGGGCGAATCAGAAATATATAGTCTGGCTCGTAAATTTTACACAAGGAATCGAATGAAAATGTGTCTGGTAACTGTATTGCTGTCACGCAAGTCCTGGCGAGTTGCTGATTTTGATCGCGCCATGTTTTTATTACCTCCAGATGTGTGGATGTGTCTGTAGTATGAGTCATGTGATGGGCGCCGGCTATAACTGTAAACAATGATCTTCACTCGAGCCAGAACTTTGTTGATTAAAGGTCCCAACTCATGTGTCCGTCAGCCACTTGTGCAAACAATTCCAACATTCTTACACCGTCTCGCTAGAGTGGCCCTGCTTACCTTGGACGTTGAGAGGGGCCTGGAATTTTATTACCTAAAGCGTCCTCCTAACGTTTTTGTCGAGCGCGTGAGAACCGACCCACTGCATATGGATGAGCGACTTTTATGAATGCGTCCGCTCCGCGTAATAAGAAGGAACCGAACAAATGCCTCTTTCTTCCCCCCTTTGAAACTTAATGGCGCCATTATGAATTCGTTCCATCTGGGCTGTTGTTAAAGGGCTCTCCAGCATAATCCGCCCCAGAAAATTTGGGAAACTAAAACCAGACCGGCGGAGGATTGTTTCGCCGGGGCGTCATGAGCGCAACAGTTGAGGTAAATTTGATTACTTTTCCTTCCGCTCATTTTGGCGATGCGTCATTAGACTTCGCAGATGGTTTCGAAATTCAGCACGGTCCAGATCCGGGAGATGAGACCATTTCGAAAGATAAGGGGGCAATTTGGCCGGGCTGGAGTGTAGCGGCAATCAGTTACGGGGCCGGGCACGGTGTGTGGAGAGAGTGGAGGGATTTTTATGATATGTGTTGGCACGGCGGAATTGTGCCAACGTGCGAGCCCGCAAGTTTGATGGCGGAAGGCGGCGCGCTGTTCCTTGTCAGTTGGGACACGTTTAAGGCATCAGCTTTCCGTGATTTATCGGGGCTGCGCTACCCCGGTGTCAGAGCCAGCCCTGCTCTTGTTTACTTTATTACCAGAGTAATGGAATGCCCAGCCTAGCAGAACATCCCACCGCGTCTAATTGTCTCGCCTTTTATCGGACCTGCTTGATGCATAGAGAGGTCCATTTGCACGCTTATTGCATCTCGCTCTAGCAAAGGTACTGTGTACAAAGGCCCCTTTGTTCTTTACTGAGCCCTTGCATCTTTGAAACGGCGATTTTATCACTCTATTGAACTAACGACTAACAAATGTGACCCGACAGGATGGTTATTTTCTTTTCTGTCATCTGCATACGCGGATGCCAAAACCCCCGTCTTCGGTTACCAGGTCTGAGTCCGGCTGTGGCAGCCGTGCCATAACCCCCTTCCAAACACTGTCGCTCCGTATTGTGTTTTTATTGCCATCAGGTTACGACCCATCGTAAAATGCAAATACGACAAGTTGGGCAATTTTTCTATCTTGGGTCTTTTTAATGACCGCCTTATATGGCGTGCTTAGTCTTGTGTGCCACGGGTCAATTGCCGTGCCGTGTGAAACTTGATAGTAGTTATTCTCAGGGAGCATTGCCCTAAAGTCATCCACGATCCATGAGGCTCTCCTGAATTGCAAACACCGCCCGCAGTGCTCGGCCGCGCCGCCTTCGCCGCGCCACGATGAATCCGCGCCCGAGACCGGCCCCGTTCCTCCGCTCCCCCGGTAAGCCTACGTCTCTTCTTCCGTAGACACGCTGTCTGTGCCGTGGTGGGTTGTCGTTAGTGGTGGGGTGGGGGAGGACGGCGTTACGAGCCCGTCTGAGACTGGGTAGCGAGGCCGCGGGGTTTTATGGCGGTTGTAAACAGAGAAGCGAAGCGTGTACATGCGGTGTGTACTTAAGGGCCCGGGCTGGGCTGGGATGAATGACACTCCAAGTTAGTTTGAGGCGCGCAGCACAGAGGCTCCCATGGGGAGACATGTCGAAGTTCATGCGGTTTAGGAGATGTTCAGACACATTTCGGCAGTCTAGACGACGTCGGGTCATGCCCCGCATCTCCGCACTGCGTTGCATGTAATTTAATTGCCCGGTGTAACTACTGCGCCCCGAGCTGCGTACAGCGGGAGAGCGGACCCTCCGGGGCCGGGGGGCCGGGGTTTCTGGCCGGGAAGTCACTTCTGACCGCCCGAGACATTTCCTTGTGGGGAGGGGGAACTCGGGTAGCCATAAAATTGCGATTCTCAGCAACATCAATGCAATTACTAATGAGCAGTGCAGCAAGGGATCTCATTACTGTTTGCCAATCGATTTGGTCACCCGAGGCAGTTAATCTTTACTTTGTGACGTCACTCGATGCTCTAATTGACGTGTTTATGGCGCCAGCTAAAACGGAGACTTAAATGGCCGGAGGGGAAAAACTGAAATCTGTCATAAGTAGACGCGATCTCTTTAGATACGTTTTGCTTTCTTTAGTTTTCACCGCTGTCCGTCCGCCCTTCAGAGCTGCCAGGCCGCCCGGTTACACAAAGTTGGTCACGCTTTACGATATGCTTATAGGACGCTGCCTCTTTTGTGCCCTGTTTTTCGCTGGCGGAATGTTTATTCCATAAATGAATTAGAAGCTCTGACCTTTGTTGTTCCCAAAAGAGCGCTGCGGGGTGAATGGGCGAGGTTTCCTGCTGCCAATAGCAATTGTGTTTGTTTATGCTGGGGAATTAACACAGTAACAGCATTACTCATTCGGTATTTGCTTTGTATAGCTTTGTATTCTGTGGAAGATCAAGCCCGTGTCTCACAAGGGGGCAGGCAGAGGGGCTTACAGGACGTGACCAAACTTCTTGCGAGCCAAGACGGCCGCTTCTTTTATGGGCCCCCTGGCATAGAGCATATTGGAATGCAACAAGTTAAGTCACCGCGAAGCGCACTTCATCTGGCATGCAAATACCCTAATTAAGGCCGGGGTTACCTACTTGGAATCAGATTTAGCTTTCTTTGTCACATAAACAATGGAGCACAATGACCAGTTTGGGGACAGCTTTTCCCCCATGTGGACGTAATAACGCCGTAAAAAGAATTGCCATTCACGGGGGAAGAATGTTGTGGGCACGGTGGTGCGTTTTGCACACCAGCTTGGGGAAAACCGAGCGGACAATGGCGGCGGATTTGGTTAGCGTGATAAGACACAAAGGTAATTTAATAGCCCGTAATTAACCATCTATTTCTTTCGCCCTTTCTGCCTTCAGGTGCGGGTACACCTGCGTGCGAAGTCAAGCCTGAAACAGCCCCGCCTGTTGCTGGAGTGACGCAGCATCATGAACAGAGCTGGACCTGCCTGCAGCCCACGGAAGAAAGGTGAATCTGCGACAGGCAACAGTAACAATTACAAGACTTTGAACAATTCTTCACCCGCCAAAAAGAAGGCACCCACTGCTAGTGTTCCCAAGGTGGGACGTCGGAAACAGGTTCTCCAACCCAAGGCGGACCCAGACGCAGCAACAATAGGTAGTCGTTCTCCCTCTGTCAGGAAAGATACCAGTGCCATTAAAAGCGAACAAAGACAATTATCGGAGCTTATAAGGGGACACTTCCATTACGAGGGCAGTAGTTCAGAGCAGGACGATTTAGTCAGGAGGTCACCGCGATTCAAGGCGGATCTAAGTACAACTTCTCAGGACAATTCAGGAGCTGATAGCGAAATTAAGGGTTCTGTGATTTCTGTGAACGGAAGCACGGTAAGCCCCAGGAAGCTACAGGACCTGGCCACAGCTTTTCAGGTCAGGATAACAAAGATAGCCTCTCCTGGTAAGGCTTCTCCTGCGGATAGAGACACTAGAGGTCCGAACAAGAAAATTCTCGCAGAGAAACGGCCAGCAAGTAGGTCGCCATCCGCCAAACGACAGAAAAAGAAGTGCAAGAAAGTTGACAACAACACAACAAAAGTTGACAACAACACATCTCGTAGAATAAAAAAGGCCAGAGGTTCTAGTAAAAGTGGAAAGAAGCCAGAACAAAAGCAACAAGAAAAGAAGCCCGAGCAAAAGCAACAAGAAAAGAAGAACATTGATTGTGACATATCGTCAAGTGAGACTGTGTTGAATACAGAACAAACTGCTGACACAAGTGATAAGTTGAAAAAGAAGCCAATAGTTCTGCTAACACGGCTAAAGCAATACCAGTTATCGAGCCCTAAGAAGGACGATAGCACAGAGATAAAGGTTGCAGAGAGCATCACTGACATTGAATCAAAAGAAGACTCAACTGAGGAAGATCAGGATACAGCAATAGAACGCGTCAAAAGGAAATTAAGTTTTGACGACAGTGATCACCTTGTTGAAGAAAGTGTCACCGTTGACTGCCATTCCGAACTGACGAGCGAGGTAAAATTACAGGACGAAACACCTCACAAGCTGAACACTGAGTCCTTTAGTGATACTGCACAGGTTGTGAACACTGAGTCCTCTAGTGATACCGCACAAGTTGTACTTGAGAGTAAAGATATCCGCTGTGACTCAGAAACTCACACTGCTGTCGTACAAGAGACAAGTTGCGAACTTGCTAACGCCATAGAACCAAGTTTAGCACAGGAGCCAATGAGTGCATCAGAGGACGTTGCACAGGAAGCAGACAGTGCAGAAATCACCATGTCTGAAGAGCTGGTGAAAAAAGATTTAGTCGTGTCCCCAAAGGAGACACCTGGCCGGAGCCCGTCCACTGCGGTCGGATCTATCGATGATGTATCCAAGCCATTAAGATTTCATGACTCAGAGATGCCGATGAACGCGGATAAAATAGAAATGAAATTGGACGAAGTCCCAGAAGCAGTCGTCAACGGCGCAGATAAAGACGTTGAAAACGATCCTCACACGACAGAAGGAGCTGATGACCATTGTTTACCCCTCGTTACAGACAGGGAGAAAACTGTCACGAATGAGGAATCGAGCGCGCCCGGTCCGTCCTCCCACTTGCCTGACAGCATAGAGAGCTGCAGTGTGGAGTCCGAGGGGACCAACGACGCGAGTATGTCTGCAACAATCCCTGCATCAGAGGAACAGGCACAACAGGCGCCTACACAGGTAGAAGATGCGGAGCAGAGAAACGCCATAGACAGTCATTCCAACCATCCTTTGCCAGAACCGACAGAGCTGCCCAAACCCGTAGTGAAGGAGAGGACGAACAGGAGGAAGGCAAAGTGCCCGGCGAAGATCCCGCGCCAAGAAGTGATGCTGGAGCACCACGACGCTCCGTTCGAGCTCGACGACCACGAAGGAGACATTCCAATGGACGAGGATGATGAGTTCATGATGGAGATGGGTGAGGAGGACATGAATGACGCAGAGCACTGGATGGAGGACGCTGTGGAAGAGGTGAGAAGCAGGAAGGGCCGACGTAAGGCCACGACGCCCCGCCCGAACAGACAGGCCGCCAGCCCGGGACGTCACGACGTGGCCTACGTGTCCTTAAACGAGGCCAACCCACCTGTGCGGCACCTTCTGAACCACGAGTCACCGGAGGACGCCGGCGACGTCCAGCCCAACTCCGCCAACCAGTACCAGGCGTACCTCAGGGAATTATTACCTCCAATGGCAAATTCTGGGAGCCAGGGACCGACTTCGCCACCGCCACAGGGTAGCGGCATGCCGCGCCAGCTTGCAATGTACCCCATGCACTCCACAAGGATGCCTCGGCAAGACGAGGAATCAGCCGGGGAGGAAGAACGCTCCTCTCTGCCGCCATTTGCCAGGAGGGTTGGGGAAGACGATAGCTTGCCGCCAAACTTCATGGACAACCGAATGGCACGGCAGCAGGAGATGGGCGAGCAGCAAAGTCCAGAAGAAGGACAAGGCAGGTATAGGCGAGAGTTCCACCGCGTTCCTTACAGCAAGTGGGTTCTGACGATGTTGGAACATGCCTATCAGGAAGGGATGGGGTACGTACGAAGCACGAAGAAGTTCGAACTCAGCATGGCGACGGGCCTGTCCTCGCGGCAGATCAAGGTTTGGTTCCAAAACAGAAGGGCGAAGGACCGCAAGCTTAAGAAGAGGGGGAAGTTACCGTTCAAACCGTCGTTCAATCGCGGCAGAAGGTCGCACGAAGAAGAGAATGAGTCCGGAGACGGAGCCGACGCAGCCGACTTTGACGTAAAATCTGAAAACGCACCGGTCTACAGAAAACCCGTCATTGACTCAGACGTCGACGGGGCTGACAGGAGTCATAAACTGCAGCTGCAAACACCGATGGTGACTCCCGCCACGCACAGTCAAGCTTCTGCAGCTCCAGTTCACGTTTCTGCGACGTCTTCGTCCGAGAGTAAGCACCCCGAGCCACTCAACCTGGTCCGTCGGTCCAGCGACAGCCGCACCGACACCGTACGGGCACGTCTCAAAGCGATGATGCAGGAAAAATCAGACCCAGCCCCGCCTCAGCAGTCAGACGATCGCCGCGACGACCCGAACAACAACGCCCCTCTGAACCTGGTGGTGCCCAAGTCGCAACCTGAACAGCCTCCTGCTACGTCGGCAAGCAGTACCAGGTCTTCTCCACCAACCTCAGCCCAACAACAACAACAACAGATGGACCAAGTCAGGGCCGCCATGATGGGTGCTGCCGGAGCCGCTTCGTCTCCCTTCATCCCCGTGCCAGGAGCCTTCTTCGTCCCGATGATAGACCCTGGATTCGTCTTCTACGGGCAGCTCGGCAGCCACATCAGGTGGCACACCCCTCCAGGTGTGCAGGGAGCCGCCGACATGGGACAGATCCGACCAAACCTTGCTGCTGCCGGGCCCGGCGGTATGATGGCCCAGGGTGCCAAGTTACCCTCAGCCTCGCCAGGAGGACAGCCTCCACTGCCTCCGCCAGATGAAGTCAAGGCTGCTCAAGCTAAGCGCCATCTCCTCCTGCCTGGATACGGCTACAAGGACATGAGGAGCACGCACGAACGTATCCGCACGCCCAACCGCTACCGTACCCCTTACACAGACGAGCAGACCCAGGCACTGGAGCACGAGTATCGCGCGCACGGCGGATTCATCAGCATCACGCGGAAGGAGGAACTCAGCAAGTCTCTCTGTCTCTCCTACCGCCAGATCAAGATCTGGTTCCAGAACAGGCGTGCTAAGGAAAGGCGCCAGCACAAGCGAGCCGCGAAAGACGGCCTGCCGTACGGCATGGGATCGCCGCCTCGCAACGACGGCACGTCGTCCAATGACGGCCAGGGGGACAGCATCAACGACATGACCAGGTCTCTGACGTCAGACACCGACGTGGACAAACGCGTCATGGAGGACTTCAGAGATGATGACGACTATGATGATGATGACGACGACATGATGGAGAGATCGCGGGAATGGGAGTCGGGACCAGACACGTCTCAGGACAGCCTGCATCTGCAGCCGCAGGAGCAGGACGCACCGCAGCCGCCAACGGCACAGGAAAGTGCAGCACAAGAGCACGCGATGGAAGCTGTTGTCCCTACAAGTGAGGGTGTTGCCGCCTCTTCTGAAGAAAAACCGCAGATGAATGTCTCTCAGACCGAGAAAGAACCAGCGCCGCCTGCCAAGCCTGAAGAAGCAGCAGCTAAAGACGACGACGAAGCCATGTTCTATGATGTAGACAGCGACCACGCCCTCCAAATAGTCGAAGAGCCTGAGGAAGAGGAACAAGAAGCGGAGACCGTCAGCGCACCGAAGGTGGTGGAGAAACAAGACAACAGACATGCGAATCCAGACACGACGGCTGTCGTGCCCCAGCCGCCGGAGGTGTTCTTCCAGAACCTAGAGCTGATGAGGAGGCAGAGGGTCGACTCCAACCGATCTCAGTACTCCAGGGAACAGATCAAGACTCTAGAGGCTGAGTTTAATGTGCACGCCGGCTTCATCAGCAGCAAGAGGAGGTCGGAGCTGAGCGAGTCTCTCGGGCTGACCACTCACCAGATAAAGGTCTGGTTTCAGAACAGGCGAGCGAAAGAACGTCGCCACATGCAGAAGTATGGGGAGGGCGATCCGATCGCTCTCAGCTTCCTCGCGCCTGGAATGATGGGAAAAGTGCCTATGGTTCCTCTGTCTCCCAACAGGCAGGCCGGCGGTCATCCCCGACTGCAGGGCACCCCGACCAGCCTGGGAACTGTCAGTAAAGCTGGACAAAATGAAGGGTACAACAACATCGTTCGTGCCGCTATCTCTCCCGTCGAGGCAACAAAGCCAGGGGACATCAAGCTCGGCTCTCAGAACCACGGCGTCGTGGTGAAGGAGGAACCAGAAGAGTCCCGGGACAGCTACAGCAGCCCTCTGGGTCTCGAGGAGCCCCACAACTCGTGGCTAACCAGGAAGACGAGGACCAAGTTTAGCGAAGAACAGATCCTTGTTCTCGAGACGGCCTTCGCCAACAACCAGTTCCCCACCGGCTGGGTGAAAGCGCAGTTGTCTCAGGTCACCGGGCTGACCATGCGGCAGATCCATGTCTGGTTCATGAACCGCAGGCAGAAGGAGAAACACTCCAGGAAGAGGGCCGGGCGCGCAGCCACCAGCCCCGGGGGCAGGGGCATGACACCGTCCCAGTCCAGACGAGTCCACTGGAAGCAGCTAGCAAAAGCCCTCACCCCGGCACAGATACGAGAGAACCAAGAGAGGCAGGCCGCTGCAGGTGTCCCATCGCAAATCCTGCCTACCACCAGCGTGGTAAACCCTGCACCTGTCAGCACAGCTGCGCAATTCACCGCCGCCGCACCTCTCCACCTGCCGGCTCCAGCCACGACACCACCGACGCGTCGCCAGACACCCGACACTCTCAAGTCGCTGCAACAGCAAAAACCGGCCGATAGGGGCGCTTCTGTCTCTTCCCCTGCCGATCAAGGCCCGATGGATCTAACCAAGAAGGAGTCGTCGCCTCCCCGTGACGACAAGAGCGACGCGGCAGACGTGGTGGACATGAGCGGGTCTCCCGTGCCCTTCATCTTCAAGGACGACAAGAAGTTCATCCTGATCTGCGACGCGCTGCGCCTGCTGTCCACGTCCCACCTGCAGCTGATGACCGAGTCCCTGCGAGCCCTGGACGTCTACATCCAGCGCTGCTCCGACCTGGACGTCACCAAGTTCAGGGTCCTGCACGGGGAGGTGCAGCACACCGCCGAGTGCTTCTCCATCGTCAACCTGGACCAGTTCTCCTCGCACCTGCCACAACTCAGGTAAACCCAATCTTCACATCGTGTAAACGTGGTTTCCAAGCAGGTCATACGGTGGCAATACAGCATCCATTGGCCAGAGGATAAGGGGTGGCTACTGGACACTCCTCTGACCAATGGATACTGCCTTTCCACCATATGATCTGCTTGGAGATTTTTGTGAACGTTAGTATATTTACCTCCATGACATGTCATGGGCGTTATATTTCCATTTGAAACTTGCCTGATGTAATTCAGTAAGTCATTACAATTTGCATTGTGTCTTGTAGCCAGTGCTGATATACTAGTAAGCTGACATAACTTTGAGTTCAAACTTTTTTATATGCTGGAGTGAAGTTCCAACTTTTTTATTTGCTGCAGTGATTGATAAGACCATGATGTGTTTTTGTTCTCGCCAGGTACATCATGAAGCAGCACCGTAACGCCCAGCCCCCTGAGACCGAAGTGGACGGGGAGAGGCGGTGTTACCTGCGCGCCGCCTGGGGAGGGAAGGACGCCGAAGAACCCAAGGAGAAGCCGCGGAAGGAGCGCCAGCGTCACGTGTCCCCCACCACCGGTGCCTTGCCGCCGAGCTCGATCGTGAACGCCACGCTGCAGCAGACGCACCCCATCGTCCTCCCCCCGGGTCTGCCCGGGGCCTACCCCTTCGGGCTGCCGCAGCCGGGGATGGGCCTCCCCTTCCCCATGGCCAAGGTGTCTGCCGTGCCGTCTTCCTACCAGTCCGGCCTGGTGACCAGCAGCGCCGCCAGCAGCCAGCCGCCCGTCAGGATCTCGTCCGTCTTCTCACTCAGCCAGGCCCAGGGAGGGAGCGAGACTAGTATAGGTCAGTATGCGACCTTGTACAAACTGTGATAGCCTGGATGCCAGACACATATAACACACTTAACTTTGTGCCTAGTGTGCTATGGGTCTGGCATCCAGGCTAAGACTGTGATAGTGTGAAAAAACATTATTTTTAGGTCGTCAACTGTGGAGCATCAATCTTTTGTTACTACACAGAAATCTTTCATCATTCAATGCCAAGATGTTTATAGGAGTTACTGTTACGTTTATCCTTACTCTGCATTTAAGTTCGTATAAAAAATATCGAAGTGACTAAATGTAAGGGGTACTGATATATCGTATACTTTCCACAGTACGTATAGTCGCTCGAAATGATATACTTTGGTCATACTTAGTTTAAAATACGTTTGTTGTTTTGTTTCGTGCAGCTTCCAGCAGGAACGAACACGTGAGTCGTCCCCGCATGCGGTTCACGCAGGACGAGGTGGAGGTGTTGGAGGGTGAGTTCCAGCGCACGCCGTGGCCGGACGGGTACGTGCCGTACGAGCGGCGGACCGAGCTGGCCGTGCAGCTGGGCGTCACCAAGAGCCGCATCGACGCCTGGTTCAACCACAGGCGCACCAAGGAGAAGTACGGCCCCAGGTCCCAGTCTCGCGAGATGAGGGAGTCCACCGGCGCAGGCGCACTGGAGGAAGCGACGTCATCGTCGAAGCCCGTGACGTCAGAGCCGGTGGCCAATGGTGCAATGAGCTAACGTGACGTTGGCGGTAGTGTGAGTAGGGCACATATACGGACATCATCTAGGAGTTAGGGGAAGATAGATACCGAGGACCACAGGTTGTATTTCGAGCCACACGATGAAGTTGGCATGGATTCAGTTAATATTCCAGGTCTGTGTGGAGGTCCGTGATAACGTTCTATCAGCATTGTATTCAATTGTGCCATAAGGTATAGGGTGATGTCTTGAATGTTTGAGCAAAAGCCAAGTACAGTACTATAATAATAACTAGACACGGCCATGGTGCCAACCTGAGGAAAATGGCCAGATGACCGGTGTTTGGATGTTGTGAGCTAAGGATAATCGTGGATGTAACAACCCTGATCATGGTCTAGAAAATGTGCAAAGTTTTCGACGTTTTTCGGTCATGTAGGAGCAGATTGATTTGTAAGAGAGGTTACACTCCAGGTTGCCTGGACAGCCTGCCTCGGCGGCTTGCCAAATATCACCGCAAACGGCTCCGAGAGAGTTGATGGGAATTTCAATATCTATAGTAACTTTCCTGACGATAAGTCATTTGGTCAAATTAAGCCGGTACAGGGTCAATTTACCGATTGGACTCCCGCGTAGAGTTAGTATCATAGCGTCCCGCTGAATGTGATATTTTCTCATGTTAAGCCGGTGGATAGGTGCTGTTTATAGCGCACACAAAGCGTGTGTACGTACGGGCTTGTCATTCCGTAAATCATGTGCAGTAAGAAATGCAATAGAGATAGCTATATGTACCAGAGTTCTAACCATAGTTGACTATTAACAAATCCATATATGGCAGAATTTTCTAACATAGTTGTCGGTTTATGTCGGAGAAAGAATGATATGACGTGCCTTGCTCTGAGGAGTTTGAAGATCGTTCTATTTTTGTGTATATGGATGGGATATACTATAAGTTGTGCCAGCGAGCTGCAATGATTTAAACTGCTAGCAGATACGTGTACGTCACGTGAAGATATAGATAGATATATCACTTCTAACCTGTGCCAGGAAAGTATAAGTATATGCCATAACAACCAGCAACAGATATATGTTATACTTCAGCAATATCCTACGTTCATTGTTTATTGTTCTTACTTTTTTGTACGATATGTATATATACATATAGTTCATGATATGTCAGTTGCTAGGATAGGTAGGTAGTTTATTTCGATTTTGTTCTAAGTTACAAAGATGTTGTATTTTGTAGTTCGATCATGTTATTGTACTATGTTGTTATATAGGGATAATAACACATCCCAGTTGACCACTGCGTTAGAATTCTAAATGTTGTTAGTTGAGAGAGTGAGGTCTACGTTACTAGAAGTATATATTCCACTGCTATGTTGTTTTACCTATTCACAAAATAAGGCACTGTTATGGCATCTGTATACTAGTATTTCACAGAAGATTTGGCGCATGGGCAGTAAGCATTCGTGTGTGTACGCATGCGTAGACGATCGTTGCCGACGTTGCTGTTCGTTACTTGGTGCATTCCAGTCTGGGGATTTTGATCTAGTCTGTGCCCCTGAATGTAAGAAGTGTCTCTCTGTGGGCGCAGAATAAGAACTGTGATGTCTAAGCCGCTACGTGCTCATGTACTTCGTTTCCCCACAGGAATGCCAACATAGCTGCAATGAATTGGTGTAATAGTTAACTTGACTTGCCATTGTTAGTCCTAACCCATAGTATGTACGGTACTGTTTATATTTTTGTACCCATAGCTATGTCAACTATAGAGAAGACTCCCAGTTCTGTACCCCTCACCAGAAATACATATATATATTCTTACAGAGAACCCATATTCCTTGTGCCGTGTGTGTACATCACTCTCCGTGCCCATTAGATCCGTGCAGGCCACTTCTTCGCCAGCCAACAACAATGAATATTGCATTAAGAAGATTTATGTTGCGCCTGTCCCCCTTGAATATCCGCCGAACATTTTTCAGTCTGCAATTAGACGTCTTGGGCGAGAGGTAAATGTCGGGGCTCCGCGCTCCCCAATACGGAGGCATCCATCACGCCGAAAAATCGCTGCGTCCGCACGCCCTGCAACTCTCTCCTCAACTATTGATCAACCTCCGCCGGCCTGATCGATCACCGATCGATGACGTCATCCATCATTGATGGAATGGCCACCCGTTATGGAGACTTATGAAGAATTTTTTTAGAAGAAAAAAAAAAGTTTATTAAGGTGAAGGTAATTCGTCCTTCACGGGAAACTTTAATTGGCAGCACGTAGAATAAAAGTTATATAGCCCGGGGAACCGTTACCATGGTAACATATGAAAATTACAAATTGCGGAAAATGAGTACTACTAGTACTAGCAACCAGTTAATGGGAGTAGTAGACGAGACCGTCGTTCTTACTGGCCAATGTACTCTTGCTTGGAATGCACGGCTAGCATATAGATCTTCCACATATTTTTAAAAGAGATGCTAAATATGTTGGAAGGAGACATGTAATGATATCCCCCGTAGTGTAGCGCACCGTCTAATCTGCGTACTTGTACCGTCTTGTCAGAGAACGAAACAATGAAGATAAAGTTGGCGCCGACTGATTTACCAAAGGAAACCTTGGAAGACGTGTTTTCGTTTCCCGTCTTGATTTGTCGGCAATGCACTGTAATCTTACGAGCGAGAAATGTCAGCCAGGGACAACCTAAGACCCCGATGCACGCCTGGAAAATTGGAAAAACAATCTGCACCGAGAAGTTACAAAGCCAAATAAATCCGCACATTTGGACAAATGGCGTGGCCATTCCTCTGGACTGTCCGTAAGAACCGTTGGCGCCGTCAGATCGGCCGAACTTTGACGGGACGGAGTGAAGCCGGGAGAGTGGGCTGACGACAACAGGACATTACAACGGTAACAAAACGTGCACAACCCTCTTTAGCAGATTATATTCAGCGCATGTAACTCAAAAGCTAAAGAAGTGAGTATTATCACAACATTAACCACATGTTCAGCCGTTATATCATGCCTGCCCCCTTAACATCCTTACGTTGTCATCTGCGTGAAGGCTTGCCGAGACACGGATTTAGTTTGTCCAATCACAGCGTGATTTACACGTGATGCAGATCGGTTGATCCCGGCAACAATGAGTGCCCGAGTTTGACCTTGGCGATGACCCAAGGACACCCGACAATGGCGGTGTGTAAATGGGGACTCACGTGAAGGCAAAACGAATGGAAGCCGGCATTAAGACACTATGGGCGCCGGGCCTTCCCTTTGTGGGGGAAATTTTCACGCCGTGTGATTTGTCACAGCGAGCTTGTATGGCTGGACCGGGCGGTAATTGCGACGGAGAAGTATCAAGGGGGATTAAGAGCGGCGTCGCTCCGCAGTATCTAAAGCGACATTACACAGGGATTGATGGCTGCGGACATGCCGGCGCCATATGTGAGGGGCCCTGGGGGGAGGGGTATCGACTGCCAACTGTGCACAACTGATGATGGCATCGACACACGTCGGTATAATCGCCGTTTTCATGTCAGTTTGGCGATGGGTAAACTTCCGGGCGTATCTCTGCACGGCAGACGAAAGAAAGGAAAGGGTATCTCTGCGTAAAGTCCCCGGCAATAACGGGTTGGCAGGAAGTTGGTGTGATAAACTACTCCATATTCATCGCGTCTGCCTCGCACAATACAGTATACATTACAGACTTACACAGAAGTCGTCGTGGCGTCATCAGGACGTGTATACAATCCTGCACCGCCCTTTTCAAAACTTTATCACACAGACTCACATAAACCTTACAGTCTGGTCTCAGGTTTGACATCTTTGAAAAGGTGATGTCACCTGTTATATGTCATTCCTTCCACAAATGTGGCCGAATCTTCATAAATAAATTGTGTCTGCTACTTTAAAATGTGGAAACGTTGAAACGCAAGTCACAATGACACCTGTAATACAAGCGTTCCACTTTGGAATCACTTCCTAACATTACGAACTACCAGATTTTAGTTTCTGTCCCTTCCCAGATGGACGTAATACAAGCACAGATCGGTAACCGTCATATTTAACATGAACAGGCTCTGTCTGTACCTTTGTCTACCGTACAACACTGTTAACAACGTCATCAAAATACGTTTAGGTACGAGAGCAGAGCGTTCACTTGTCTGTTGTCAAATAATTAAGAAAAGAGAAATACACAGGAGTAGCTGACGCAGTCACCGCTGTTTAAAATAGACTATAATGTTGGCAATTAATCACTGAAAAGTCTCCACTTCATCTTTTAATCCGTAGGAATTATGTATTAATACGAAAAGTCAAACTGCTGACATGGATGCTCCGCACGTTTCCAGTGATTAATTACGATCCCCGTAAACAGTGTGAAAAGACTGTACAGTGGCTTCCCCTTTGCTATAGATATCAGTAATTACGAAGTCGCCCATAGTTAGGTCCATTCTAATATCTACGTGGGCTAAGCCCTTTGCCATTTGCACCTCCCACGCGGGCATCCTGAAAAGTTCAAACGTGAAGTGGTGAATCCTAACTTCTATGTCGGAACGTGGCCGCACAGCAAGTGTGGAAGTGACAACGGCTAATTAACAGTATTGGGCCATGGGTGATGTGGAATTCTGAGCTTGAAAACTTGATTGAAAATGCGTTGCTCAGTTATGATTTCTTAATTTCCAAACCTCGTGATACTCGTGTGATAAGACTTCGTAAATTCTTCCCTACTTCTTCCCATTTTCTCTACCCTCCGATCTTTGTACAGAGACAATGTGATACTAACTTGTCGGATTACAACACGAAGTACTACAGATAAACTAGGGAGAACGATAAGACTAACAGTTTGCAAAGCACTAACGCCATAATGCTACATGTCTGTCTCCACTGTTAGGAATAGGAACTGCAGACAGAAAAGCGTTTGTAACAAAAAAATACTGAGGGGAAGAAGCGACGACAATGATTCCTTCATCATCTCCTGGAAAATTCCCAACTTTTGCTTCACTGAACCATTTTTCGACCCACTCGCAAAACAAATCTGTGCTATGTTATACGACCAACGCTATCAGTTCAAGATGAAGTCAAGGATAGTTTCTATCACTCTCGTCCATGCGAGCAGACCGCGACTTCTGCTGAATATAGACACACGGCGGCGCTCAACGAGTCCAGATGATCTTTGCCGTAGATAAAAGGATAACAGGAAACTGTTGACAAATACCAGCATATCGTAACCTACATCCATTCGAATTTCAAGGCCATTCTGGCAAGCAGCGCATTGCGACCAGACCAGGAAATGTTTCAGAAAACGACCAGGCTTGAGGGCTAGATAAATCAAATGGAAGGAAAAGGGCGAATGATGGAAAGATGTGGGAAAATAGAGAATAGGCAAAACGACATGTAGAGGGAGGACGCAGGGAAAATTGAATGGGCGTGATGTTGACACATAACAACACGTTGACTGATGCCATATCTATTAGACGGACAGAACGACGTGGCTTGTATATTTTTCTGGTCGTGTCCTTCCGTACGTGTGATTTTCTTTGTAAGATCTCCAATCAGATATACGGCCTAGGCTTGTTTGCACGTCATTTTTGGTGGTACACGTTTTTCTTCGTCAGCTTCGACACAGTTTGAATATCCGTCTCGTCCAGTCGACCCCCCCCCTACCGGTCTCGTTCCCAGTATATTGTGGGGTGCCAGATGTGTGATCATATTATTATATGTTACTTTGATGGGGATGTGGTTACTAGATACTAGTAGTCTCCGAGAATATCTTCTTTGGGTGGCTGCAAAGACAGTATCAAACTGGCCAGGCAGTATTCGTTTGCTAGACATTTACAAAAAAAGAAGCCAGTACAAAACAAGAGAGCCCGATAAAAAGCCAAAAAGACGTAAAAAATAAACTGAAGCCAATCTTCTGCTGGGAGAGTAGTTGAGTACAAGAATAGAAATGATCATATTATCACTGATGACTGATCCAAACCTGTTAAGACGAGGGAGAAGTCTAGCGCAAGGGGTCTCACTCCTGACCCCCACCCCCAAATCACACAGGTATACAGGTGTACTTTCCGTTTTGTATCATTTCTTCCTCGAACCGCTGTGTCGGCGCCGTGCGGGCCTTCCCTTCGCCGATCGGACCGGCTTCCATCGTTTATTCCGCGCAGGTCGTTCCAGCCCGGGCGGCGATTCGTCTTTTCGTTTGGCGGCATCCTAATGCGTTATCGTTCTCACTCATTACCCAGAGTGATGCGGCGTGCGATGCATGGTCGGTCGCTTGGCGCCTGGTGCGAGATTTGGGACCCTCAGACCAATAAATCAGCAAAAACTTCATTTAATGACTTTCTCTTGTCTTAATGTTGTCTCCTTCCCCTGTCCTTCTTGTATCAGACCTTTCGGCGATGATGGGAACGCTGTTATAGGCGTCATAAAAGCCATAAAACACGACCCGACAATGTATCATCCGCACATTTCAAGGCCGCGGAACCCATAAATCTTCGTACTGAGAACTGACCCGGCCATTTGGAGCCCATTAGGCGATTACAGCTCGTCACATGACTGTCCGCTGCACCAGAAAAGTCTTGTCTGATTTGATTTCGCTCAACAGCCACTACGGCGAAGCGCTCTGATAGTCCGTACACACAAGCGACGAGCATTTTCGTAAGCTCGTCGTTAATTTTTTTCGAAGGTCTCCGATAGCGGATTGTTAGCGATGAAGCCATTGAACATTTAAGACAGTGGAATCAGTCTTACCAATGCTTCATCCAGTCTCCAAGGAGAAACTCCGAGACCTGGTGGCGCAAGATGCATGGAATACTTGGCAGGAGAAATTGTCTCTCCCGATCATATTTCATACGCCTCCATCCAGAAAGTACTCTGTTCATGTGAAACCGAACAGCGGTTCTCGTTTCTCTTCGCTTGCAATGCTAGAAATTGGCTTTTTGGCGAGAGTCCTAAGTAGGCAGGCTAGAGAATGGTAACTCATCTCAATGATAGAGAGGGCGTTGACCTGGCATTCTCTTTTATAATAACATATTCCGTGAATGTCAAGGGAACCACATATAACCTCAGCACAGCATATTGAGCCAGGATCTTTAGGTCTGGCCACCATTGTATGGCAATAAATCGCAAAGGCTCTCTTCAAATTGCCCTAACACTGGACATGGTGCGTAACGAAGGCCAGGTTCGTCGGTAAGTCGGTGACCCAGATTGTAGAGGGACGAGAACCTCACAAACATCACGCGGAATTGTAAATCTTATCAAATCTTATGGCAGGTTGAATCAGACTTGAGGCCTCTTTGAGAGTTTGCCGACGTTAGAACTAATACTTAAAATAAAACAGTTCCTTTAGTGATACTAGAGGAAATGTGTGGATAACACAAGACTGTGGCGACTACAGAAGGAAGGAATAGCCTTCATGTCTGCTCCTAAACTTTGACATAATCGTCCAGTACCTTTCATATGCGTCCTTCTATCTTTTCCTTCTCCGCGGTGGACGCGCATTAAGCTTGTATGCTATCGCAATAAGATAAACGGTTATTACACTAGTGCTACAAGATAAAATACTGTCTTCGTGTGTTGTGTTGAAAAAGAAGGAGCTAGACCGTAAAAGAGAAGACCGGTCCTGAAGTCGTAAATTTGTCCGTTTCAATTTTCCCGTGCCCATCACTCTCTAACTCAGTCCCAGGTCGCTGAGCTGTAACTTTCCTCCGTTCTTGCGGACGCCGGTTAATCATACAAGGAAGGTGATCAGTCATTGGTGCAGCCGAGAAACGGGAGAATAAGTCTTTCCCACACCTGTCATACTTGGCACATAACTCAGCTACCGTCCGTTAGAGTTACGTTTCTTGCATTTTTCTTCGTCCCACCAAGGGGTGATTTTTTTCTTGCAGACCAGTCGACGTGGAGAGGGGGAAATAACAAGGTGACGTGATTGACGAGGAATACTTCTAAATGGCTTAATGGAAACTTTCAACGTCAGTGGCTAATTCATCAACGGACATATGGAGACCAAAATGTGCTTGAAGCGTGTGGGAATGGGAGTGTGGATAGGAGTGGAGAAAATTCGCTATCAATTCAGTGAACGAAACTATGATGTCTCAATCTGAATGAAGAATGTGTTGCGCTTAGTTTTGCATAACCGTCGGTAGTGCGCAGTCAGTCATTGACAAGAATGTTTTTATGTTTTAAAAGTTTTATTTCAAAGAAACATTGTACATGTATCAAAATATATGCACAGGAGGTATTGCCACAGATGTTTTTAATCCTGACGATTGCACAGGTGAGATATATGGGTATCTGGCAGACTGACGGACCAAGGACGGACCAAAAGATTTTTCTCCTTCTCTGCTTACCCTCTTACATGCTTTCTGCTCGTTTTTCTGTCCCCTGACACAGACCAGCATAACTCAGGCTGTCCAGAGTCTCCTGCCTGGTTCTTCTCTGTAGAAGCTCGACTGTTGCAGTCCCAAAGCCGAGCGCCGTTCACGTAATCTCCAAGCGTAGTGCGCCTCCCATCCGCTAGATGACGCAAATCTGGTCGCTTCTGTGGTCGTTCTCCCCTATTTGAGCCCTCATGTCTGAATGAATACTATTACATGTATTAGTATCACTAACACTGAAGAGGAAGTTTAACAATGAATTGACTGCATTTGTTGTACTTCCTCTTTATATATTACAATCTATGTTAAGGTTAGGTTAAGGTTCCGTTAGATGATAACAAAATACATCACCAGTTTCTCAACTTTCCCAAAAGTGTGCGTAACGTAATCATGGTTTTATATCAGATTCCCTGTATTTGAAATGATCATCCATATGTTTCTATTGATCTGTAACGAAAACTGTAGACCACCTGTTGAAAAACAACATAATTCTGTTGCAAAAAGAACACACTGTGTTGTCGTATTTATTTCCAGGAGCGTTCAGTTTGTCCTTAGCTTACGGATTTCTGCGCTCGTGATCATCAAAACTTGGTGATGTTTTGAGTGGCTTTGGGAAAAGATGTTATTGTACATCTGCTCACACCTTTACGTTAACGTTGTTTGCCGAAATCCAGAGTTTGTTTACATGCCACCTGACCCCTTTTGCGGACAGCGGTATCGGTTACAATTGCCCCCGGATCGGATGTCCTTGGAGATGAAAAAAAGAAAATTAGACGGGTTACCGGTCAGAACTGGGTTAGAGTTTAAAAATCTGCAAATCAAGAGTTTTTCGGTTGACGGCGCTACTTTGCGTGCCTTATCAAACAGTGCGAGCTTGGCTGCCAGACCGCGGCCCTCATTGTCTTCCAATTTAGGCGATACGTCGTCTGCAAACTTTGTATTGTTGTCATAACACACGCCTACGGCGCTCAACGATACACCTGCGAACACCTGATGGAATCTCACATATCCAATATTCCCAGGGGAGGACTGCTCGTTTAAACCCACTTGTGGATTTCGTTTCCCTTGTTATTACATATCATACAGCCAACAAAAGACATTAACCCAATAATTCTTTGTTCTAATGTTTGAGTAATTTTTTTATTGTTCCAATAAATGCGACATGGACAAAACAATACAGATAGTCAACCGTTACACCCCCGCAAGAATGGTATCGCCTAAGGGAGGCAGTTACAAACAAACATGGCGATGATGTTGTACGTTTAACGGGACTTTTGTCGGCTGTCTTCGAGTTAGGGTAGATTTAGTAATTATTTCCTCACGCTGAAAAGTTTCATCGCCAACTCTCATGCGTACGGTACAGCGCAGAGTTTCCTTTTCTTGATAAATGGTGTCGGCAGATCGCTTTTCGATTTAAAATCCAGGTCAGAAGGTGGTGTATCGGACAGGCGAGACGGATCAGATGAAGCCATCTGTGTTTTCATCGCCGTGACCTCGTTTCTCGCAGGACCGAAGGCAGAGGAGGACATAACCAAGATGTCCGTCAAGCTACAGAACATGTCGGACCGTCTGAGCGCCGTGCAGATCCACGGGCACGCCATCGCCGTGCCGGACGGGCGGCAGCACTCCCCCTTGCCGCGGGCCCGGTCCAAGTCGCCGGCGGTGCACGGGAGCCGGAGGGTCGCCCTGACCCCCATCTCCATCCCGCCGCGGACTCGCACCCCCAGCCCCCGGGCCCGCACGCCCTGACCGAAGGAGGGGTTGCTGAAGATGCAGCCATGAAGGCAAGTAATTTGAACTGCGTAAGGCATGGAGTAGATATAGTTTTCATATGTCTTGAAAAATGCGCTCACTGTAAATGCAGATGCTCGTTACTTTGTTTGTGTACTGCTACAATTACTGTTATTTAAAGGTGTTATAATAACAGCATGTGTTGGTATACGAC